AGTCTTCCCATATTTGACAACCTTTGAGTAAAATATTCTCAGAGTAAAAGAAAGACTTAAAAGAGCAAATTAAGAGTTTGGTTGTATGACCATTTGTTAAGGTCTCTGAAGGATTTAAGAAAGTGCCTAGCACACCTTAGCTTGTCAAAAAAGCTCCTAAGAATCATAAGGATTGATAGAAGCCTAATCCCAAATCACTGAATAACTCTAGAGAAAAAAAACAATTGTGGGTGTAGTTTTTATACAATGAGGTGGGCTATAGCCTGTTACATAGAAAGCTCACAACATTTAAAAGAAAATCATCCCAACAAAGCACTGTCAGCTTGGACTAGAAGGGACTAAAAATGATTAAGCTGCAAAGAGGTCTCTGGGCCCTCAACTATTCATGGGCACGAAGACAGATGAGAAAGGAACTCAGCTGTCAACATGCATCATTTCTTATGGAAAAGGAAAGGCTTTTTAAGGGGGAGAACCATGATACCAGAGAATGGAGTCAGGAGCCTTGGAGAACAACAGACTGGGAAGACATCCAGAGACAGAAGGAACGGCCCTGGATTAGAGAACCTGGCAACATTTTCCCCAAGGGAATTTTGGGTTGTTATGGACCAGTGACTGCTATGTACCTTTTGTTTTTATCCTTTTTTGAGGAGAAATATCTATTCGAATTATTCTTCCCCTGTCTCACCACTGTATGATGGAGGTATAGGGAACAGGTGACTTGTCATTTTAAATTCTGGATCAAGAGATGCCATATCCAAGGAGCTACAGCTGAGGACTCTCATTCATATCGGAATGTGATAAGATCATGCGATCATAGACTTCCAACCTGATGCTATAAACAAGACAGAGAGCCTAGGATAAGGATTAGCACATTTTGCATGCATGAGAAATGTGGCCAAAGAGCAGACTCTGGTAGATTCCAAAAACACCCATAAATTCTTTTCCTCCTATCAAGATATGGAGTCGATTTCTCTCCCCGCTTGAGTCTGGGTTTGGCAATGTGACATGCTTTGACTAACAGGATGTCAGCACAAATAACATAAGCAGAGGCTTAAAAAGTTTTTGGACAGTAAGTCCTACTCTTTTGCTGCATTTGGAAACCTGGGACTACCACGTGAATAGGCCTGAGATAGCCTGCTGGAAGATGAGAAGCAATCTGGAAGAGAACTAAGACATCCAAGCATCAGTCAACATCCAGACATATGAGTGAGGCTATCCTAGATCATCTAGCCAGTCACCAGCTGACCATAGAGGCATGACTGAGTCCGGTCAAGATCTGCTGAGCTGGCCCAGATTGTAAAAACTGCCCAGCCAACCCAAAGAATTGGAAGCTAAATAAGATAGTGTTTATTTTAGGCCACTGAGTTTAGTAATGCAGCCTAACCCTCTTGGGACAATTGATGACTATAGTTTTTTTTTTAAAAAAATATATAATTATTATCTTCCTGACTCTGAATAATGGCTTTAACATATCCCCCCAGGGGCCGGGCTCGGTTGCTCAAGCCTGTAATCCCAGCACTTTGGGAGGCCGAGGCAGGTGGATCACGAGGTCAAGAGATTGAGACCATCCTGATCAACATGGTGAAACCCCGTCTCTACTAAAAATACAAAAATTAGCTGGGCATGGTGGTGCGCCTGTAGTCCTAGCTACTCGGGAGGCTGAGGCAGGAGAATTGCCTGAACCCAGGAGGCAGAGGTTGCGGTGAGCTGAGAACGCGCCATTGCACTCCAGCCTGGGTAACAAGAGTGAAACTCAGTCTCAAAAAAAAAAAAAAAAGAGAGATAGAGACCATCCTGGCCAACATGGTGAAACCCCTTCTCTACTAAAAAAAATACAATAATTAGCTGGGCGTCGTGGCATGCGCCTGTATTCCCAGCTACTCAGGAGGCTGAGGCAGGAGAATTGCTTGAACCCAGGAGGCGGAGGTTGCAGTGAGCTGAGATTGTGCCACTGCACTCCAGCCTGGCGCCTGATGACAGAGTGAGACTCTGTCTGAAAAAAAAAAAAATCCTCCCAAAATAATCTGCACCATCTTGCTATTGTTGCCTAGTCTTCATTGTAACCATGTTTTTATTTTATTTTATTTATTTTTTTTTTTTTTAGTGCAATGGCGCGATCTCGGCTCACCGCAACCTCCACCTCCTGGGTTCAGGCAATTCTCCTGCCTCAGCCTCCTAAGTAGCTGGGATTACAGGCATGCACCACCATTTCCAGCTATTTTTTTTTTTTTTTTTTTTTTTTTGTATTTTTAGTAGAGACAGGGTTTCACCATGTTGACCAGGATGGTCTCGATCTCTTGACCTCGTGATCCACCCTCCTCAGTCTCCCAAAGTGCTGGGATTACAGGCTTGAGCCACCACGCCCGGCCTGTAACCATGTTTTTAAAACCATATTTATGAGTTTTTTGCATAGATAACATTTAAATAAAAATATATTTTATTAGTTACCTCTTATATTCTATATCTTTCCTCATTGTTTAATTTTTTATTTCCAAAACATATTCTTTATGGGAACAATAGACACTGGTGACTCCAAAATGAGGGGGAGGGGGCAAGGACTGAAAAATTTCCTATTGGGTACAGTGTTTACTCTCTGTGGGTGATGGGATTGATAGAAGCCCAAACCTCAGCATCACACAGTGTACCCTTGTAACTTGCACGTGTACTCACCGAATCTAAAATAGAAATGGGAACTAAAAAGAAATAAACACCCAGATAGATCCTTAAATAGTTATTTTAGTGAGCATCTTTGTATTTATACTCTTGTTCTTTGTTTTGCTCTCATTCTTCTGGGACAATTTATCTAGTATAGTATTTTAGGTTCAACACAATAAAGTTACTCCTCTGTGTTCTTACCTCTCTTGTTGCTGATGAAACACCTGTCAGTGTGTCATTTATTTACACATAACTTGTATTTTTAATTTTGACTTTTAGGTTGCTCTTTTTTCTCTTTTCTGAAGAAAAAGAAAATCGGTTTGTGCAGTTTCACTATGATTAATTGTGGGTTAACTTTTATTTGGCTTTCAAAGTATCAGGAGACACTCGATCTGAGAACTCATGTTGTCACTCAACTCTGGAAAATTATGAATCATTTATTTAAATATTGCTTTGCCTTCATTTTTTTTATCTCTTTCTGTAGTTTTATTAAATAATGTTGAAGCCTGTCATTTACTTTCTGTATCTCTAAACTGTTCTTTCATGTTTTTGACATCTTTATGTTTCTATGCTGCAACCAGGCTAAACTTCCCTGTACTATTTTCCAATCTGTTAACTCATGCTTCAATGGTAACCAGTCTCCAGTGAATCCCATCTGTTGTATCTTTATTTCAATAGCCATATTTTTAATTTATGTATGTTTTATATATACCTGATCTCATTTTTTTTTTTTTTTAAGAAATGAGGTCTCATCCTCCACCTAGGCTGGAGCATGAGCCTGTACTCAGGAGGTTGAGGTGGGAAGTTTACTTAAACCCAGGAGCTGGAGGCTGCAGTGAGCTATGATTGTGGTACTCTGCTCTAGCCTCAGTGATGGAGTAAGACTCTGCCTCTAAAGAAAAATAAATACAAGATGCAGAACCAAAAAAGACCCTACATAGCCAAGGCAGTCCTAAGCAAAAAAAAAAAAAAAAAAAAAGCTGGAAGCATCACTCTATCTGATTCCAAACTATATTACAAGGCTACTGTAATTAAAACAGCATGGTACCAGTACCAAAACAGAGATCTAGACCAATGGAACAGAACAGAGGCCTCAGAAAGAATGCCCCACAACTACAAACATCTGATCTTTGACAATCCTGACAAAAACAAGCAATGGGGAAAGAATTCCCTATTTAATAAATGGTGTTGGGAAAACTGGCTAGCCATATGCAGAAAGCTGAAACTGGATCCCTTCCTTACACCTTATACAAAAATTAACTCTAGATGGATTAAAGATTTAAACATGAGACCTAATACCATAAAAATTCTAGAAAAAAAACCTAGGCAAAACCATTCAGGACATAGGCATGGGCAAGGACTTCATGACTAAAACACCAAAAGCAATGGTAACAAAAGCCAAAATAGACAAATGGGGTCTAATTAAACTGAAGAGCTTCTACACAGCAAAAGAAACTATCAGTAGAGTGAACCAGCAACCAACAGAATGGGAAAATTTTTTTGCAATCTACCCACCTAACAAAGGGCAAATATCCAGAATCTACAGAGAACTTAAACAAATTTAAAAGAAAAAATACTCGATTATAAACACACATGCACACATATGTTTATTTCTGCACTGTTCACAAGAGCAAAGACTTGGAACCAACCCAAATGCCCATCAATGATAGACTGGCTAAAGAAAATGTGGCACATATATACCATGGAATACTATGCAGCCATAAAAAAGAATGAGTTCATGTCCTTTGCAGGGACATGGATGAAACTGGAAACCAGCATTCTCGGTAAACTGACACAAGAACAGAAAACCAAACACTACATGTTCTCCCTCACAAGTGGGCACTGAACAATGAGAACACATGAACACAGGGAGGGGAACATCACACATTTGTGAATGTCAACCATTCCTAACTGGTGCCACAGAAACATCATCACTTTGCCAAAGCCTCTCACTCCAAAAGACAAGCACGATAACCAAAGTAAACAGACCCTGATCCTGCTGTTTGCCACCACTACCACCTGTGCTCGAGATTTGGGTCCTTCTCCTTTTACACCAAAGCTAACACTTATCAAGCCACCTAGAACAGAGGACTTTGTCAAGAATTTTAAAGACTAATATAGTCTTTTCCATTCATTCAAGTGTAAACATTTCAGGTAGAAAGAGTGAGATGAAAAGAGGAAACAGTGAATACTGCAATTTGTTTGTATCTCAAAACTACAGCTCTATTCTTTCCAGAACAGAACTTCATACACTGGGGCCTGGGCAACTGAGTCTCCAGTGTTTGTGATGTCATCCTTACTCAGTTACTGGACAAATAAAGGGGCAATACCTAGTTTGGAATCAACAAATGGAGAATCTATGATGTTTATGCAGCTTTTCTTCCTCTTTACCCGGAAAGGAATCCTTTGTTGCCTGTGAGTATGAAAGGAGAAAGTTAGTTTCCAACTCAAACATTTTCCTCTGTAACACAACACTATAACCCTCTCATTTGTGCATCCACTGGGATCTGCCCACAATTGGTCTCACCAGGGTACCAGGTTGAATGAGGCACATCAACCTCAATGCTACCACCAGGGGTTATTTCGTATGTGTGCTTCTTTTTGGTTTTGCTTTTGCCAAGTCAACCCTAACACGGACAGTTTTCCATTTAGCTACATTACCCATTCAAATATTTATTGAGTACCTCTTAATAACAGCCTTTATTTAATTGGGACCTTCTTTATGTATTACAATGCATTTATATACCCACCTAATCTTCATATCAGCTACTCATACAAATCAGGCAATGTTGTCTTCATTTTCAAATATGGGAAACAGGCTCAGAGAAGTTCAGTGGCTTCTCAAAGTGTTATACAGGCTAGACTTGAATTCAGATATGACTCCCAAACCCATATTGTTTCTATATTACAAACTGAGGATACCTGATCTTTGGCATAAAAAAAAAATTGTGTGTCATGGGCTATGGACCTAGGTTTTCAATCCTGGGGCAAATCCAGCCTAATAACCTACACTGGGCCTGTCACCCTGGCCTATATATATTAATTTTCCATTGCACTTCAACATCCTATTTGCACTTGGGCCCTATGGCCTGATGACTCTCAGCCATGGGCATAATGTAAACCAAAAGACAAAGGACTTTTGGGCACCCGCTGGTATTGGATTCTGGACCCTTTTCAGTGCCCTGAGGCTTGGTAGTTTTCTTGCTGCTGCTCCTGCTACAGAGGCTCTCGGAGCTATCAGCTTGTCATCCTTATGTTTATCACTTACAATAGTGCCCAGATCCTGTGGTATTGTCTTTGGCCCTGAAAATGGTATCATAAACAGAAAAATGCAGAGTGCAACTTGGGAGAACTGAGAGGTCTCCAGAGTGGGAAAGGTCTCAAAGTACTAAGGAAAGGAAAATTGGACTAGGTTCTCCAGAAATGTGACTCTAACCTTTCACTCACTCTGTCTGTCTCTTAGGACTGCAGACAGCCTGAGACAGTCATAAGCCTCTTAGTCCATTTGCTGTTGCGTATAACAGAATACCTGAAACTAAGGAGTAAGAAAGAAATGTATTTCTTACAATTATAGAGGCTGAGAAATCCAAGGTCGAGAGGCTGCATTTGGTAAAAACCTTCTTGCTGGTGAGGACTCTTAAGATTCCTGAGACAGTGCAGTCTGCTGACCACGCTAGCTCAATGCTCTCTTCCTCTTCTTATAATACCACCAGCTCTCCTACCTTGATCACCATTAATCCATTAACACATTAATCCATTAATCCACGAATGGATTCATCCATTCACGAAGGCACAGCCCACATGATCTAATCACCCCTAAAGGCCCCACATCTCAACACTGCCACACTGGGGACCCGGTTTTAACATGAGTTTTTGAAACTCATAGCAGCCTCATTTCACTAATATGTATCTGTTCATCCATATTGACAGCTCTCTTCCTGCGAAACTGGCTTCGGATCACTTCTTTTAATGCTTTCACAGTTGACCTTCAAACAACACAAATTTGAACTGTATGCGTCCACTTACATAGATTTTTTTTTCAATAAGAAAATTGAAAAATCTTTGAGATTTACAACAGTTTGAAAATCTTCACCAACAAACCATGTAGCCTAGAAATACTGAAAAAATTGAGAAGTTAGGTATGTTATGAATGTCTAAAATATATATAGATACTAGTCTACTTTATCATTTACTACCATAAAATATGCATAAATTATAAAGTTAAAATTGATAAAAACTTATACACACAGACATTGCAGAAAGATAAACAAATATAAAGATGCAGTATTGGCCGGGCACAGTGGCTGACACCTGTAATCCCAGCACTTTGGGAGGCTGAGGTGGGTGAATCACGAGGTCAAGAGATCAAGATCATCCTGGTCAACATGGTGAAACCCCACCTCTACTAAAAATACAAAAAATTAGCTGGGCATGGTGGCGTGTGCCTGTAATCCCAGCTACTCAGGAGGCTGAGGCAGGAGAATTGCCTGAACCCAGGAGGTGGATGTTGCAGTGAGCTGAGATTACGCCATTGCACTGCAGCCTGCGTAACAAGAGTGAAACTCCGTCTCAAAAAAAAAAAAAAAAAAAAAATGATGCAGTATTAAATCCTAACTGTAGTGCATACTGTACTACTTTACTAACTCATAGCTACCTCCTGTCGCTATTATGGCAAGCTCAAGCATTGTGAGCGTTCACTTAAAATGCCACATGAGCAGTGCATCCCTCCAGTAAATTATGTATTACAGTAAAAAACGATCTCTCACGTTTCTCACATATTTTTCATGATAGTTAGTGTAATACCATCAACCTTGAATAACACCACAGTGCCCATGTGAAGTGCCATCCAGTGATGCTGAGAAAAGTCATGACATTCCAAGGAAAATATGAATTGCTTGATATGTACCATAGACTGAGGTCTGCAGCTACAGCTGCCCATCACTTCAGACAGACAATTCATCTAGCAAACAGGCAACATAAACGTATGGTATCAATAACCACAATAAAGTACTGTAAATATATTTTCTTCTCCTTATGATTTTTTAAATATTTTCTTTAGCTTACTTTATTGTAAGAATACAATATATAACACATGTAACATACAAAATATGTGTTAATTGACTGTTTATGTTATTGGTAAGGCTTACAGTCAGATGTAGGCTATTGGTAGTCAAGTTCTGGGGTAGCCAAAAGTTATACTCAGATTTTTGACTGCATGAAGTAGGGAGCTGGCACCCTTAATCCCTGCATTGTTCAAAGGTCAACTGTACAAACATGACCTCAGAGGTCACAGGCTGGACAGGGGATATCATCCCTATTTTAATAAGACTCAAAGAGACTGGGGCATTGGCTAGTTAGCAGCAGAGCTGAAACTAAAACCCTGTCCTCTTGACCTAAATCCAGTGCTCTTGTTACTTATTGTTGCTCAAACAAGGATGATGTCACTCTACCTCCAATCTGATCCTAGCTTCTGTAACACTTACCTCCACAACTAATTTTTTACAATTTTACTTTAAGTTCCAGAACACGTGTGCAGAATGTACAGGTTACCTAGGCATATATGTACCATGGTGGTTTGCTGGACCTATCAACCTGTCATCTAGGTTTTAAGCCCCACATGCATTAGGTATTTATCCTAAAGCTCTCCCGCCCCTTGCTCCCCCACTCCATCCCCAAACAGGCCCTGGTGTGTGTTGTTCCCCTCCCTGTGTCCATGTGTTCTCATTTTTCAACTCCCACTTATGAGCTCCACAACCAATTTTATTAGGGCCTCATTTTTCACTTGAGTCGATCAAACAATCTAATTAGTCCCCCTACCTTTAACCTAACCCCTGCCCCTGCACCATTCCCTACCCCTAAGTATTCTCCACTTCAACCAAGGAATTTTTTTGTGTATAAAAAGCAAATCTGCCACTTCCTTGTGTAAAGTCTTTCCCTGGTTCTCTACAGTTTTAGGATGGAGTCCAAGTTCTCCAGAATGCTGTTTTGTGGCCTTTAACGAACTCTCTGGTCTCAGGTAGTGCCATGTCCTCATACAGCCTGTGATTCACACATCCTGTGATCAACACACCTCCTCCCCTCTCCACCTGCTGCTGGGCTATCTGGAATAGTTTCTTCACACTTGATACTACCTGTTTCTGTCTTAAGTCATATTCTCCTAGAATGCCGTAACTGCCTTGTTTGTAGCATTCTTAGAGAAGCTTTCTTATACATCCCATCCACCTCTATGAGTTATTTCATGGCTACATATTGTTTATGTGGGTCTCCAGAAGACAAAATAGAAGTGTAGACCATGTAGCGGGAGGTTAATAAATGATACCTGGCTGAGGTCTAGGCTCCTGCCTTGACTAATATGTGTGTCCTTCCTTTATATGAGAGCTCAGGTTTGCCTCTCCTGAAGCCTTCAGGCATTTGATGCAGGTCTTCAGACAACACCAACACAGCCTCTAATTCACTCCTTTCTGATAGTCTTGCTAATACACTTACTGGAAATTCTGGTTGGAGAGTCCAGGCCAGATTAAATCAATATTCCTTGGTCGCCTACTGTGTACCAAGAACTCTTCTGTTTCCTCAAACTGAATAGGCATCCTTTAGAGGACAATATATGGAGAATTCTAAGTGCATGGCCCTTTCATCAGTCAAAATACAGTGTTGACCTGTCACAATCCCACCCCCCAAACTCTCCTAACTAATTACTTAAGTACACATACAGATTTTATATTTGTCTTTTCCAGTTTTTACTATGAGATGATTTCTATAACAGTTTAGAGTACAGCCTCTGCTTGGTTTCAGATCCTGGATCTGCCACTTACTAATAGCTGTGTGTTTTAGGTAAACATAAAACTTCCCTCTCCCTTGGCTTTCTCATCTAAAAGTGGAGATAACAGTACTTGTACCACATAAGATGTTATAAGGATCAAATATCCTTACAAACATTTGAAATAATGCAGAAAAAGCACTTAGCATACTTGGCACATAGTAGTCACCCAGTAAATACTAGCTAGAACAGAAGCCCTCATAAATAACCTCCGCTGACCAGAATCACCCTTTTAGCCATTGCTTTCCCCTCCCCCTATATCAGATACCAACTGATGCCACAGCATGCTGAATGCCCAGGGCTAGGAGGTCATTCTTGAGTTCTCTACTCTACCTGCACACTTGTGCCCCCTCCATGTGAGCCTGTGTGTTTACCAAGAATCAGCGGGCTTGTCCCCAAAACCAGTTATACCCATTGTATTTATCATTGAAATTGAATGACTAAATTTACATATAATTTAAATAGTATATAAAGTGATTAAATGTGAATATAAAATATCTGTCTCTGTGAAAGTTAAATAATAGAGACGAATTGTTTAAAAATTGCTATTGAATTAGCTTTGGATAGGACTACTGTAAAAAACCGGAAAAAATTACAA